GACATGATGGTAGTGTTATTGTTAATAACAGTATATAATAATAACAGTATATAATGATAATATTAATAATAATATAATAATAATAATAATAATATTAATAATATGTATATATAATCTCTGTATCTAATAAACACAATTTATCTTTTTTTTTTTTTTACATGGTTCCTAAATGGAAGATTCCACATTGAGTTTTTAGCATTTTATTTAGTAAATACATTAAATGTAGCCACATTACATCATGTATGGGAACACTTAGCAGCTTGAGGTGATCTTTAAAAAGCACACACAATAACATCTGAAATAATTTAACAGGACTGAACATTGAGACTGACATTCTTAAAAACACAGACAATAGAGCACAATAAAGTTACTGGTGTTCCTTCAGAAGACTCCAGTGATGCCATTTCCTGTTGATCATGTGACTTGAACTGAATTGTTGAGGTGGGGGGAAGGGGGGGTCAGGCTAACAGGACCAGTGTTGGGCTGGTGTCAATGTAACTTATTACTCATTAATCTTTTCAAAAGTAACACTGTTATTTTACTTATTACTTCCTGCCAACAGTTAATAATAAAATCCAAATTTTTCAGACTTCTCGGTGGGTTTCATGAAGTTTTTATATGATTTATCTACAAATTGAAGTTAGAACAAAGTGCAGGATATGTTGCTTAAATATACAATTATACAGATTTAATTTCAGTTTTCATGCATATTTATGCACGTGATGTCCTAAGGATTTGGCACTAATTGGATATGGTACCTGATAAACATTTCCCTTACATAGAAACCATAAAGTTTATTTCAGTTTTTTGTTTTACTGAAATCATTGGAATACACTACAGACCTATTTCAGGGACAGAATGATAAAGTCCTGCACTTATTTCCATCATTGTAAGTTATTCTGATTGTTACAGGTAAAGAGCACGAGACGGAAGCTGCATTAAAAGAACATTAATTTTACTACATCATTTTTACTATTAAGCCATTTGTTTGTTTAGTCTTACACATTTTTTTTTTCCTTCCTTACTTTCAGAATTTAGTTATACAACCTGCTTACTTAGGCTCAATTAAAGTGCCTTAATTACGTGCCTCATCTGCGTTTTCTCCACTGCCAAGTTTGTCCTCATTAGGCCTGAACAAAAGAATATATTACATTGTTAGCTCACAAGGAAGCCTCTTAAAGGAAGCCGTGCAGCTTCCTCATTCTCTTGACGTCACGTCACTGACTCCTGCAGACATGAGAAGGGTCAGACGAAGCAGCATACAATCTGTAGAGGGTGTTCGTCAAGAGGATAAGCACTAATTAAAAACGACGGTGTGAGACGCTGCAATAGGTTAATGCACTGTCTTGCATTGGCTGTCTTGTTTGTTTCATTCCTTTTAGCCTTTCAGTTTCTTTAATGGATTACAGATACACACCCTGTTACTGTAGAATGGCAGGACCTTGTTTTAGGTCTATTAATTAAAGAAATACTGTTACCAAGAAGAAAAAAAACACTGATCTGCTGTTATAGTGATGTGATTGTTAAAATTGACAATGAAAAAACAGACTCCTGTTCGAGAAAAGTTATTTATTTCTAAGAAATGTACAGTATAGAAAATACTCCATTCCATTTCCAAAATAATCTATGTCAGTCAGATAAGAACTTGTATACGTCACTTAAAAATGGAACGTACAGGTCTTTTTTTCCAATGCCGCCATGCTACTGAGGTAAAAAAGACAACTGCTTAAAAACAACCAAAACAACATCAAGGGGGGAAAAAAAAAGAAACATACACCACATTTATATTAAACAAGTCCAAAAATGTACAAAAATTCTTAAAAGAGCAAATAAATATGATTCACATTTAATCAAGTCTAAATGGTTTTCACTAGTGCAGAGAGATGACAGCAGAGAAAAAAGTGAGAGTTGAATGCACACTTCCGATCATCTGGTGCCGATTCTACGCACCAGTAACACACACACGCACAGAGACACACACACACCACATCTGTACACCGTAAGACAGTCTCACAACCTCACAGACCTTTAAAATAAACACTGTCCTTCATACATTAGACAGCACGAGTGAACACACTACCTCCAAGGTGGCCCTATTAGGCCCACTAAATATTGGGACAATTCCCTATTTTAACAAAATAGCAAGTCATCCATGACAAGTCTTGTGTGACACATTTAGATAATTGTCTCACAGCTTCTAGCACTTTCCTACTCAATCTCCTTTCCTTAAATATTTCCTTAAAATGCCTTAGGTACCTATTACTAAGGAACTTCCCCATAATGCCGCCAAACTCTATGCAGTCTATTACAGACCCTAGACTGGAATACTGCCTACCATGTCTAGTTTCAACAGCCTGTAGGCAGGGAGGCATGCAATCTGTACAACTAAAGAGACCCACTTACAGAGTCTTTCAGACATATGATGTAATAATGTCCATCATACTCAAATGATGACATAAAAAAAAAAAAGTGAGAATGAAAGTGCTGTCCCATTAAAACCACAGTGTGCACTTTCAAGGATTGCTACAGAACATCTGTCAATGTCAGACTGACAGCTGAATAATAACATCTCGTTCCAACAGTCAGTCAGCACCATCATTTGACACGGCAACCTGACGCATACAATTTTCTTCCAAGATGGTATGGTATGGTAAGGCCATTTTATTATCAGTTCCGTTAGCCTAAAATCTAAAACCGGTGCTGAAATCATAAGCTGGTCATAAAATGTTGACCCACGGGAGTCTGGCAGGGCAGGAGAGGAAGTGGAGGGACTCTGTAGATGCCACCGATTGGCTAGATGAGGTAGATTGTGATCTTAATTGTGATGAGATCAACAGGAATGTAGAACTCAAATTGGATCCATCTCAGTTCTAATTAACTTTGATGAAAATGAAAAAAGGTTTTTGGGGAAAAAAAGTCCAATAGGTTGGCAGTGTGCTCAGCCAAATATTGTTAAGGACAAAGAAGACAGACCCTTACAAGTTCAGGTTCTTCACATGAGGTGGATTGATTTGCCACAGTTGCAGTCCCATATTCCTTTATGCTGCTCCTCCTTCAAATAATGCAGAAAAATACCCGTATATAGAAACTGTACACCCTGAGGAAACGTTTAGTATTGACATGGGGGACAGGAAGCACTCAAAGATGCAACCATGCAAAGGGCGGAGCTGTGAATGAACAAAGAAATAACGCTACAATCTTGTAGGTGGAATGCAGCCAATGTCACACTGAAGAAAGAAATAAAACAACCGCAGGGTTTGCGTTTGTTCCGTGTATGTGCATATATCAGCCAGAAGGACATGTCGCCGTCTGGCAATTTTAGAATCCCCTCATTTGGGACAAGAGGTAAGGATATATTCTCATACATATATGTGTTTGACTAAAAATAAGACTATCCAAGGCCACTCAATTCCAGGTTGTCAAGACTAACAAAATCCATAGTGCATAACAGAGAGTTAGGTACAGTCGGACACACATAGCGCATCTTTGACAGTCCCTCTCTGCTAGTCAAAGACATTCTTAACGATGAAGGCCGCTTTAAAAGATGCATATACTGCGTGTTCACTCCAGAGCTGGAGAAACAGCGTTAAGAGTTGGGGTGGAAATGGACAGAGACTGGGCCTTTTTCAGGACGGTTTATGCTTCAGACAAATTATCAGTGTTTGTGTCCCTTCACTTGCAGCTAATGTGGCGGACATACTTTATGTACACATTCACTCATACATTCACAAAAGGAAACCAAGGCAATTGCAAGGGGCCTGTGCGTTGACTGGGATAGGGTGACAGTCTCATAGTACCTCCTTTTCTACACCTGAGTTTAAAGATACGGTTAGAACAGAAAATAGCAGTAAAAACAACAGTCCCTCTCGTCTTCATCACAGTCCTCCTTGGTTCTGTCCGGAGATTTAACAGCTCCGCCGAGCACCACAGTCAATGGACAAGATTGGCAGGCTGTGTTCAGTGGCCTTTCAGAGAGGAGAGCGCTGTCCAGTGTTCTTGAAGGCAGTGTCCCCTGTGTTCTGCAGGGTGGTCTAGTGGTTCGACAGGCTGCCCTTCTGCTGGAGGACCCTGGTTCAAATACTCAAACAACATGTTAGGGAGCAATCACTCTGGTGAGGTGTCCTTGAGCAGGTCAGTGAATCCCTACCAGCTCCACAGAGCTGTTCTGTAACTGACCCTGAGCTCTATGTGAAGAAGGGCAAGCGAAAAGAGAATTGCTCTCCAGGGCTCATTAACATTTCACATTATTATCTTAGTAATACCAGCTGCCTGGTTGTATCTTCACATCCAGCGGTCGGCAAAACTGAGCAAAAAGTTTTTTTCCAGTGTATGAATATCAGCAAGAGATGTTTGTGGAGCAAATGATCCCTTCTACAGTCTCTGTCAGCCCAGTCAGCATGCCCACATATTCTTCCTTTTGGCTCACTGCTGTGTCCAGATGTTCTTTGATAACATGCCTGAAAGGATAAAAAGAACAATTAGTTGAACATCTACAATTTAAGCACATTTAGGACTGACACGCTACATGTACGTAGCTTGACTGCGGTGCGCTATAATGTCTGTGTTTTGGTCACTATGGAGATGTATGAATGCCTTTTTGCAGTATGTTCTTAAGAATAGATACTTAAGGCACTGTGTTTATATTTAGAGAAGAAAAAAAGAAATTGAAGAGCTGTGAGACAAAGTTTGAACATGGTGTAATGTGTTAGAAGTTATTTTTACTCACTCTAATATGGTACGTTTCACACTCCT